AAGCTTCATGTGTACACTAATAATATCTTCATGACCTTGGGATAGGTATACAGTTCTTAAAGATGGCACAGGAAGCCACTCACTATAAAGGCCTGATAAATTGGTTAGTATTAAAATGAGAAACTTATATATTTTAGTGACCTCACTAAAAAGTGAAAGAAAGAAAGAAAGAAAGAAAGAAAGAAAGAAAGAAAGGAAGGAAGGAAGGAAGGAAGGTGAAGATATTCATGTAGTGTAGCACCAGAGGATGGAAGGTGGGTCACATGTAGAATATGTGGTCCTCCAACAGATCCTCAGGAAGAAAACTCCCATTCTACACCCAGTGAGAAGAAGAATGTTCTGCACTTAGGAACCTTCTCCCATTTCCAGGTTTTAATGTGTGGCTCTTGGTGGCTGGCCTTAGCTTGCATTTTCTTGTATTTCCCATGCTGCTTCACCCAGTTGTATCTCTTTTCTCATGAATGCTGCCTGTGTGACTTTAACTCTTCTTTGTCTTACAAATTTTGATCAACTATTTTAAGAATTTTCCTCTCTAGTTTCTTTTTCCCCTCCTTGTTTTTCATTTCCCTTTCGTTCTCTGAGCCTTCTTGTTGAGCCTTACATCTTAAGTTGTAAAAACTACTGTAAAATATCTAAAGGACTTGGGGAGAGCAAGCTTGTTCTGTGGGGCTACAGAGACAACAAAAGGCTCATTGCCTATGGAGAGATCTGTTCTTTGCTGTGCTTTAGCTGTTCAGGTTCTCTAAAGAGTGATCAGAGAGCCGGGCGGTGGTGGCGCACGCCTTTAATCCCAGCACTCGGGAGGCAGAGGCAGGCGGATCTCTGTGAGTTCGAGGCCAGCCTGGTCTAGAAGAGCTAGTTCCAGGACAGGAACCAAAAAGCTACGGAGAAACCCCGTCTCGAAAATCCAAAAAAAAAAAAAGAATGATCAGAGTCACTGAGTCACAAAGAGGCAAAACAGCATCTTGGTTGCAGTGTTTTCTGTGGAGGGCCCTATGCCTATGCCTTGGATGGTGTTAGATTATGATAATCTCTTCCAGTCTTATGTCAAAAATCCTTATCAGACCTTCTACAGACATCCAGGGGAGTAGCCCTCAGTGGGAAAGAGAGCCAGTGTACTAACATGATTTCTCTGCACTGCTAGCTGGTCAAGGAGGGCTACAAAAGCTGCTACTTTAATGGAAATCAATCATGTCATCATGTCTACCTAACTTTTTTTTTTCTTTCTTGGGACAGTCTTTCCTGAAGTGCTTCTCTTCTTTATTACTTGTCTGGCTGAGAAATGTTGTAGTTGGTTACTTCAAAAAGGGAGAAACTGGGCCTCTATGGGCCATCTTACAGATTGATCAGTATGTTTACTATTAATTCTTTGAAAAAGCAAATTCGAACTTTTAAAGAGTTAGAATAGAATTTTTTTTTTGTATCTGTAATGCGAATTTGAGAATGCTTCTAGGATACTAAGCTGGCAAATTTGTCTGAGATGTTGGCCCATTTCCTGCACTTTGGTACTATGTATTAGCATAGCACTTACTAGGTACTTCGTGAATGTTTTGCCTCCCGAGGTCACCAGGCCCCAGCTATTTGTCTACTCCCAGGTTCTTAGCAAAAATGCCCACACACCACATCTAGTGTACTACAGTATGTTTCTAGCTGGCCACTTCCATGGGGGACCAGATTTATATTTAGTTTATCTGGGATGCACACTCGGGCCCTAAATGTTCCAAGTGTATGTTAGCTTCTTGCACAGCTCCCCTGTTTCCCCTAAGAGCTGGGCCTCATGGGAGAATAAAAAAAAAAAAGACAGCAGGCCAGCAGGAACCCTACTTTTGTCCACTGATGTGGTTAATGGAGTTTGTGGCCAGTACAGAGGGCATGCAGTTCACGCCCTGGACAAGGATGGGTCAAAGTTTAGCTCTGTCCCTTTAAAGAAAAAAGAGACATTGTTTTTGGAATTTTGAAATTTTGACCCATATCCTTTGGAGGCCAAGGGGAGCTAACTGTGTCTGGAGAACTTGTTTAGTTCACAAAGCCTGTAACAGTTGAGAAACTAAGAAACTTGGAGCAATTGGGCAGGAGCTGACACCCTGCCTTTTCAGGATCCCAGGCAGGCCTTTTAGTATAGATGGCAGAAGGCAGTATCCCATCCCTGCTCAGGAGTTATCCTTATGCCCCCCCCCAAATCAAATACTACACGTAGCACCCTGTAAAACTGCTTCCTTGTAGGTTTGACCATGCTTGCTAAGTAAACACCCGCCCGTGTTTTTGGAACTGAATTCATCTCTGCTTCCTGGTTATCCCTTTTGGATTTTTCTATTCTCCGTGCTCCATGGAATCAGGTTAATAGAAGAAAGACCTAGAATTAGTCAGCGGCTCCTAAAATGACTGCTTTAATCTTAGTAAAAGTCTGAGAGTTAAATGGGCTTGTAGGAAGAAAACTGAAACAAGTCTTCCTACACAGTGTCAAATTTTGCAAGCCATCCTTTCTATCATGGACATTTCTCTGTGAAGACTTAGCACAGTCTTGTTGTAGACCACAGTGGTCTCACTCCTAATGCCCTATAACCTTGTGTGTCCCTACTCTGGTTTGGTGCACCTCTTGACTGTTTCTCATGACTTACCTCTTCTTATTTCCACCCACCCGTGACGTTCTTACTGCCATGGGGCTGAGAAGCCACGTCATTCACCAAGTTTGTGGAGTTATGGGCTAACACTGTGCTGAGCCTACTTCCCTCTAGTTCCCTCTTCTGAACGAGAAGGCTCTCTGGCAGAGCTCTTTGTTTATTTGATCCTGGGCTCATGGATAAATCAGGAATGTCCTGACATGAACTTGGGCGTGTGTGTGTGTGTGTGTGTGTTTCCCTGTGGAGAATGAAACTGGCAAATAGGGACTTGGGTGAGCAGAGGATCATTCTGGGGAACTTGCTTTAAGTGACATCAAAGCCATATGCCTTTGGTCATCAGATCAGTAGGTAACTTCTTTATTGGCATACTCTACCCTGCTTCCCAGAAGGTGTAAATTTGAAGCACTTTCCCCTCTGCTGGGAGCCTGGCACAGATGCCCCAGGCTTCTTTTAAAACCAGGGATTACCAGGTTGTCTTCCAAGAGGTCCTTCCCTCTCCTGGCTAAAATGTTGGCCAGAGTGGTTGTGTAAAGGCTGTGTAGGATGGTAGGTATAGAAGAAGTGTTTCCTGGTCTCTTGTTCCTGTTCTTCCTGAAAGGTGCAAGATCGATCATGAAGTGATGCACTTGATGAATCAAATTACTGCCTAGAACCTGAAGACATCGGAAACATCTGGTTAGAGGCTGGTTTGACACACACACACACACGATTGGAACGTGAGCCTTGTTGAATGTGTCTGGGTGTGTAGAGTTCATTGGGTTGGTGTCTGAGCTCTTCTTGGAAGCATTTCAAGGAAGGGGGATGTTAGAAGTTCTGTGTTTTGCTGCTGTTGAGAGCTGTCACTATCCTAAAGTAACTTCCACCTGCCTCAGAAGCATCAGTGGAACACCTTCCTTATAAGAGTTTCTGGGTTTGTGGGTACACTAAACTATTGCCCAATGATTGCTGGTTGGGCCGGTATATGGTTTATCTTGGTTGGTCATCAATCCTGAGGGAAGAATCAGGTATTGGCTATCTCGGGTCAAGGCTCGGACATCCCTCCGTTCGTTGTCTTTTTTTGTTGTTAGAGGGCTTTTCTTGGGAACAAATGACTCAGCAATGAATCGTAGACTGTGTGGTCTATGTGCCTCTTGGGAAGTTATTGGACATACCTATCTAGGTCCTAAAATTTTGAACACTGAATGAATAGAGGTACATTACTCTGGATTTTTTCAGGCTACTGTTTGGTTTGTTTTTGAAATACCTGACTTGATAGAAGGATCTCGTTTTCGGGTTAAGCAGACAGTGTTTTAATTATGCTTTTTTTCTTTAGGAAAGTCAGGATATAAAAGTCCTGATTCCATGGCTAAAAACAAAATAAAACAAGAAAATTTTGAAAAAGGAGAAAGAAAAAGGCAAAAATAATTCCAGAAAACAGCTGTGGCTGTAATTTTGGACTTGTCTGTAGCAGAAAGGGTTAATGGGATAGTAGTCTCATGGTGAGGTCTATTTTAGCCTGTGGCTAGGAGAAGCCCATATGGCTCAAGAAAAGATGACGCAACATTTAGTAGTACAGGACAGCCCTGGCTGGGCCGGGCGGGAGGCTGCCACTCAAAGAGTTAAAGCTAATCTTATTGCCATGAAGCTCCAAAGGAAGAGGAGAGGTTGCAGGGATAGAGACCTGTGTGTTCCAGAGCTGTTAGGTATGAAAAAGGAAAAAAGGCTGAAAATGTGGCCAAGAAAACAGAATGAAGGTCCAACTTTTTTTTTCTCCCTTGTTTGACCAGCCTTGGCACTGCCCGCTGCCTCTCCAGGGGAAAAGCTGCAGTTCTGCTTCTGCAACACAAGGAGCAGACTGGAGAATTTAGATCTGCGTCACAGAGCTCAGAGCAGAGAGGGAGAGAGAGAGAGGGAGAGAGAGGAGAGGAGGAGGAGACGAGAAAGGGAGACAGAGAAGGAGAGAGAGAGAGAGAGCAAGGGAGCCAGCACGGACACACAAGCTGTCGATAGGTCTGCTAGCAGCAGCCGTGCTGCAGCAGAGAGAGAAATCAAGAAACAAGTCATAGCAACACTGGGCACCAGATTCTGCCAAGCGTTCAGAAATCTGTCGGGGGCCAGAGGCCTCTGGGTAGCCTAGGCTAAGATGTCACGCAAGGTGGCATGGGCGGTTCCCATAGGGAGGAGGTGAGATGAGGGGCAGGAGTAGATACAAGAGTTGGTGGGGTGGCAGGGGAAGACTTAATGAGAGTGGATTCTGGAATGTTCTGGACTGCGGCACCTTGTGTCTGGATAGGAATTTGGGTCTGCGCAGGAGACGGCTGGTGGTCCACTGGGGCTTAAGGACTTGATGGCATAACCTACTTCTACCACCACGTATGTATTTTGTGTGATAAGGGCATGTCTAGGGTATGTGGGTGCTCTGTTTTTTCTCACCTTCTCCCTTTCTTTTTGCTGTTGTTTCCCCTTCCCCCTTGGAGAGGATTTTGTTGTTGTTGTTTTCCACTTTAATTTCCTCTCCCTTAATGTCAGCTACTTAGGCCTGACCAGGGTAGAGGGGAGGAGTGAACCATCCCCTGATTCTCACTTGAGCTCCCACCCTTTACCCTGTTTTCTTCTGGTGGACAGAGAGGCTAGTTTTCCAGGCTGTTTGGGTGTCAGTGTCCATCTGTGCTGTCTTAGGGGAAAGGAAGAGGGTGAGAAGTGTCAAGAAAGCCGTCAGGAGGGACTGTTTTCCCAGGCATTCCCTTGTTAAAATGTCTAGTCCTGGGCATCTGGGGTGGTAGAGAGCATAAGCATGGGGTGGGGTGTGGGCTGGGAGAAGTGGGGTGAAGCTGGGAGGTTGTCGCTGCGTAGTTGAGAAAAGTGGAGAATGGTGACGCAGTCACTGTTGCATCTTGTTAGGAGCTCTGTGGAGACTGGTGGTGCAGCTCCTGGGACCTGAGAGGCCAGCAGAAGGGTTAAGGATGAGCCTAGGTGGGAAGCTAGCATTTAGAGATTAAATGTCATCCTTTTGGCGTTGGAAAGTTGTTTACCTTGCGTTCTCTGTGTCTCCATGTTGGCTCCCTTCCAGTTCACATGTGATGGCCTTCCCTGTACTGCTGCATCATTAACTAAGTGACTGAGCTGGTCTTCCATTGGCCAGGGGAGGGCTCTTGCTTCAGACACTTCCTCTCATTGGTAGGAGGGCCAGTGGCAGGTGAAAAGCTCTTTTTGATTGGCTGAGGACAGGGTATCAAATCTGAATTTGCATTTCACTTGCTTAAAGGGGAGGGAGGAGAAGCCCAGCAGCTTCTAAAATCTCTTTTAGGGGTGTGCGTAGGTGCCTGTGTCTGCCTGCTTCAGACTGCCCAGTCGCTGCTTCTTCCATTACCTTTGTAAAATTTCAGTCACTATAAGGAAGAAGAGCTTAGAGTGCCCCAAACTTTTTTATTTTTTATTTTTTTGAGGGAGGAGATTGGGGAGACTGGTTTGAGGAGGAGTGACCAAATTGGAAGAAAATATTTGTCCTCCGCTTTGGTGTCAGAAAAGGGAATTTTCCAATCTGCCACACCTCAGTGTTGCGGCAGAAATAATTCCTGGCTCCCCTGGAAACCATCGGGCAAGGTAGGGAGAGTTGCTGTTGCTGTCGCCACTACCCTGGGCTTCCTACTTGAGTGGTCTGCTCCCAGGTGAAGGGATCTACACTGATGCTCTGGTCATCCAAAGGGCCTCAGACTCTTGGAAGAACCTGCCTTTTGGAAGCTGCTGCTATCTTGTGCTTGGAAAGGTGAGCCGTGGGACTAACCTCAGGACATTGCTTGGAAGCTGGCTGTTGTAAGGTTTCCAGAAAAGTGAGTGGGTGGAGGTTCGAAGGGCTTCTGCTAGAATGATTTGTCAGTCTAGGGAACTAAGAGATGGAGAATAAAACTGGGGCAGCGGCAACTGTCTGGTATTGGGGGAGGGAAGCTGGAAAATCAGAGTGCTAGCATCCTGTGTTGTCCTTGTGGTGGGTCTCATTTGTGGGAGGGGGTTCCTGGGCCCTGTGCCATGTACAGTGGCCCCACCCATGACTGCGCATCCAGAGCGCAGTGCGCCCTGGGTCTCTGGCCTGGGACAAACACCTCCCTGATTGTTATATAACTCAGGGTGGCCTGTGCCTTCTCAAGCCTGCTTTGCAAACCTACCTCCCCACTACGTGGGGCGCACAGCTGAGGGTCTGCTGGGGAACATGTATGGGCTGGCTAGCCTTTGTCCACTTAGTTACCAGATTTCAGTACAGAAGTGGTCTGCTGTCTCATCTGGGGACATGGGCTCCAGAATGTTCTTCTGAGTACCCTGTGTCATGTATGGTCCCTGGGGCTTGGAGGTGGGGGTAGTGTCCTCCTTTCCCTTTTACCCTATCTGGTTTGGGGACAGGGACTTTGTGAAGAAGACCTGACACAGTATTCGTATGAGGGAAGGTGTGACACCCTATTGGGAGGGGGTTGGCAGTTCCCCTTCCTTGTCCATCGCTTTTCTTTCCCTGGGTTCCGGATTCCTCTGAGGCTGCCATTTTGAAGGCATCTCTGCTGGTCTTCCACATGGTGGCTGGTGCTGTTGCTTTTGCTGGCCCAGCTATGCCTGTTCGGAGAAGTGGGTGGGAGTCAGGGTCTGTGGTAGAGGGGTGCAGGCGCTATATAGATGGATATAGCTATGCTTGCTGCATTGAAGGTGGTCTGGAGGCAGAACTGCCTGATCCCACCCTGGGTCACAGCACTGGGTGGGGGTCGAAATGGAAACCTAGGTCAGGGTCCCATCTTTAAAGTGTGGGCACTTGGCTTCCATGCCCTAGTTAGCCTAAAACTCGGAGATGTTCTATGAAGAGCCTAGATGTGTTTGAAGAGAGTAGAGGCAGACCCAGCAGCTCATCTAAGATGTGGCAGACCTGTGGTTTGTGCTCTTCAAATAGGCTGTCTCTGGCAGCTTCCACATGGGGATGGGGAGATGGGGGTTTGGTCACATGGCCTTGCCTTTCCTCCGTGCCCCCTGCCAGGGCTACAGGACTACAGTTCTAACTGCTCTTCTTGAGAGGCTCCCTGCTGCCCAGCCCTTTCCAGGCCCTGCTGCGGAGAGCGGCCATCTTGTCTTCCTGCTCAGAGATTTAAAATGGTTTCCTATCATTGTCAAGTTGAAATTCCCCCCAATCAGTTGGGTATTCAGGGCTCTCTAAAAGTGGCCTTAGCTTTCCAAAGAAGCCTTCCTCAGGTAAAAACCGACCAACTCATATTTCTCTGCTTTTTCAATACTGGTGTTTTCCATGCCTGCTTTCTACCTGTTGCAGTCCCATTGTCTTCACGGACCTCTCCCTGAGCACCCTCTAAGCAGAAAACCACTGTTAGAATTCTCCTTTCTTTCATGGTATTTTTTTATGTGTTACTCCATGTGTTTTCTATCAGAGTTTGTACTTTAATAAGAAGCCTGGGGAAGGGGGAAGAATATTCTGAGCTTCTGTTGCCGGATGCCGTGTTAGATTCTTCAAGAACAGTTACTTGTTTATTTTTTTATCACAACCCTTTAAGGAGAATCCTGTGGCTGACAAGAGCTCCAGTTTCCAAAGTCTTTTTTCTCTGTAATCCTCCATGTTTTCTAGATGTTAGAAGGTGACACCCTCCTCTTAACAATGTGTTAGGTCATTCAGCTGGTCCATACCTATACCTGCTTTATAACATTCTCCTCTTCCTTCTTGGCCAGAGTCAGACAAGGTGATACATTTTTTGTCCTGAAATGAACAGACCTCAGTTGCTTTGCTTGCCTTCCCCATGGAAGATCAGCCAGAGGTGGGTAGGTAGGAACACCTTCAGAGGAGAGTAAGCCCTGTTGAGGCAGGTGCACACATTGGACTGGACATACCTGGACTGTACTCCAGTCTCAGTTGGGTGATTTTAGACAGTTCATTCTATTTCTCACCCATATATGTGACCTTAGTTTGTGAAGTAGAGCCCTAGAAGAAGCCTGTTCTATAGGCACGTCTGTTGTATTGTCTGTTCTTTGTAGATTTGCCTAAAGCCTTCTTTCCCTGCCTGGGGACTTATTGGGTATGTAAAATGAGAGACTAGCAGGTGACTAGCAAATTAGGGAAGAATTATATACTTCCATGTGTCACAGCAAGCATAAAGGAGAGTGTCTCGGTAGTTTTACCTCAGGCCTGCAAGGTGGTGGTGTTCTCCCAGGGATGGGTGCTCCCCTTGTTTCTGAAGCGGGAAACAAAGGGGTGGTAGCAGAATGGGGGTTAGCAGGGAATGTTCCTGATAGCCTTTTGATCCTAGGTTTGTTTCTCTTGTTGCTGAATCTCTACAGTGGCTGATGCTCTGAGCACCCTGATGCCCCTTATCACCAATTCTGGGCTATGTAGCTGAGTCCTGTTAACAGCAGTCTAGGCCCTAGTGACGGCTGCTTTGTTGTGTGTGTGTGTGTGTGTGTGTGTGTGTGTGTGTGTGTGTGTTTCCTTTTTTTTCCTCGTTGGAAGATGACTCAGTGTATTGGGAGCCGGGAGATGGAGCTCTCAGCCGAACAGCCAGAATGTTCTGACAACATGAAAGCAGCAAAAACAGCTCATTGGGGCTCTGGACCAATTCTCAGCCTTGGGTCATTTTTAGGGAGGGCTGGGTATTAAGAAGGCCACTGCTAGGCTTCAGGGATGGGGAGACACCAGACTGCTCACAAGTGTTCTGAGACCTTTGGATTTTAAATTCAGAGGAGAGTCATGATTGTGTTGTTCAGCGAGCTTAGAAAACAGTACTCTTTTGCCTGGCCCTCCCTTCTCTCCTCCCTCCCTCCCTCTCTCCCTTCTTCTCCTTTTTTATTTCTTCTTCTTCTTCTTTTTTTAAATTATTTTCACTGGTCCCAGATGATAGACATATTTCTGGAGCTGGATCTCCTTTGGGATTTCTCAGTGGGTCTGTATGAGTGGGTTTGGTCTTGTTGAGGGTAGAAGGTGACTCCTTCTCAAGACTGGGCAAGGAGATCCTCCATGAGAGTGTACTATAATCCCCTGGGGTAGATGCTCCAGTAGAGGTAAGATGCCAGAATATCCTTTATCTTCTGAGATTTGTGTGAATGGTGGTCCTCCTCACTTGCCCTAACCTGAAGGCATCTCTTCTGCAGGATGTCAGCTTTCTCTTTCCTTGGATGGTGTGACAGAGCTTACTTTTTTCCTTTCATCTTCCTCACTTCCTCTGACATGAATTCTCTCTCCATCTTCCTTCTGCCCCCGTTAGCACATCATTATGGAAGCTCGGGGTTCTAGGCTTTTCCCGCAGCATTGTGCTAAAGGCACATGATGCCCTGCCCCACCCATTGTGCCTCTGTCGCAATTGTATCCTCATCAAATTATTGGATTTTCTCTCTGGTTTCCTCGACACAGTCTAGGATGAGGAACAAACAATTTTAAGTTTGGGAATGAGGGGAATCCTGACCCTGAACTTCATTCAGACTTTTTCCAGGTAGCACTTTCAATTCTTTAGCCATTGATTTTAGTGTAGCATTTGCTTTTCTACCCAAAGACCACCTGGAATGACTCATTTGGGATCTTTAGGAGGTATATCCTGAGCCTGAGAACCAAATGGGGGCAGGAAGCTATGACCGAGGTCACGGCGCAGTGGGGCACAAGGCGTATGAACGAGCTGTCTATACTCACGGTGCTCTTGTGTCTCAGTAGAAACCATCTTGACTAGAAAGTCTGCATAAGTGTAGGAGTTCTGAGCTGTGCATATGATGAAGCCCTGAATACCGTGTTTCAGAGAACTCTGTTGTGTGTGTGTGTGTGTCCCTGACCAAAGGGTGGTGGATAGGTACTCAATCAGATGTTGTACCTGCCAGTGCTGGCCCTTCTCCACATTGCTCTGCCCAGGGTTATTTTGCATCTGTCACAGCTGAGGACTATTGTTCCATGGGCTACATATAAAATCTAATTGCAGATCATTGCTTGGTTTTGTGAGCAGAGCCCAGCTGATCTACCTTTCTTTCTCTTCCCAGCAGAGAACGTGACAGAGTACTGCTCTACCTGTAAGTAGTTGACAACCTCTTGGCAACTCAGGCTCAGTTGAGGATGATGTTTGTACATCTAAGCCATAATTCCACTGGCTAGAACAGTTTGCTTGCATTGTTCTGGAACAGAAAAGAGGAGCTGGTTGACCACTCTGCTTTCTGTAGGTAAGTGTTCATCTTCATTCTTGTATGTTTTTTTCTGCTTTCAGATATGCAAAGTAAATAGGTATCTATATAATCCTGGGCTGCTATACCTTCTTCCTCTCCTATGTGTTCTCCCTTTGTCCTTCAAAAGGAAAGGCTGGAAGTTATTGTTCAGCCACCACATATCTCCCTTAGGCTCACACTTTAAAAGCCAGTTTTCTCTAAAATGGATCCAGTAGCCATGTCCTTGGTGAGTTCTAATACCCTCATGAAGGGCCCTGCTGCACTCACTATGCCCAGCTTGTGCTGTTAAGACTCCTCACTGGCTAGTTGCATGAGGACGGTCCTTGCCAGCACTTAGCATAGATCTGCCAAGTTCTAGCTCCAAATCTCCAGGCTGGTAGGAACCTCAATTATATATAGCCTTGAGCTAAGCAGTTCTTATCAGGCATGTCTACCCTTCCCTGTGGGAGAAGAGTACTTCTATCATAACCACAATGTGGAGCGTGAGTTATCTCCAAGGGCTGGAAGTTGTGTATGTCCATATCTGGCTTGGATCTGCCATACTTACTCTTCCTTTTCCTGTTTCAGGTGCTGGATGAAGTTGCTGAGGTGGGATGAGGGCCAGTAGGATGCCATGTTTAGAGAAGGAAAGACTGGGGCACTCAGTTTGTCAAAGGTGGTTATGCCCTACCTCAAATACCAGCTTCCAGAGTCTCCTCTGTTTCCTGCTCGACTTGCTCTGCTCACGAATATCTTTTGACCTTTCTTCACTCTTCCGGACCTCTCTGTGCTTTCCCACACCCCTTTCTCTTCCCTTTGATTTTTTTTTTTTTTCTTTAGGATGAATGAGGGCATTCTCAGCTACTGGTCTAAGAGACATACCTTTTTTTTTTTTTTTTTTTTTTTTTTTTTTAATCTTCACCCCCTATAGCAAGACAGGGAAAGGAAGTTGTCCTGGGAAGGAAGGTGGGTAGTGAGTAAGCCCATAGTGTTGGGCGATGGAGCATAGTAGGTTAGATAGTCTTTTCCTTCTTGGAGGTACTCCAGAGCCACCAGTTTGTGTGGTTCCTTGACCTCAGGTGTGCTCTGATGTAACAGGGACCTAGTCTTCCTGGTGGATTAAATATTCAGCTGCTGATTAAAAACTAGAAGCAAGAAATGAAAGGCCTGAGTCTGCCTCCCAGGCAGCTGGAGTGTGGCTGCTCCCTGGATCTGTTCCCTCAAACGTGACCATTCAGAACCTCCAATAGTTGTTCATTTCTCTCCATTCTTCCATTCCTGGCTTTTCTATGAATGAGGTAACTGGCAGAGTGCTGGACAGGGTATGGCAGTACCAGGGCACCTTTACTTCCCACAGTGAGGTGAAGAAAGCTTCCTAGCTGCTGACATGTTCCCGTTAGAATCCCTAAAGTTCTGGGAGCTGTCCAGGGCTCAAGCATGTTCTTTCCTGTGCAGAAAGGGTGTTTGCCTTACTCTGGATACACTGAGCCTATAAGGGAATTAGGCTAGGTCTGGGGTCTAAAGTGTAGACTGGGCTAATGGGTGTTTGCCTTACTCTGGATACACTGAGCCTATAAGGGAATTAGGCTAGGTCTGGGGTCTAAGGTTTAGGCTAGGCTGAGCAGTGACTGGATTCTGGATTTTTCTCTGCTTGGGGTTTTCCTTTGAATAGATCATTTTGTTCTTTAGGTCTTCAGTTGTCTTCAAAATATTTCCAGGCACTTGACAGGGAAATACTTTTCCTCTGCCTTACAACAACAGCACTATTGAGTTAAAGTGATGATCTCCCTCAAAACTGGGAAGGCAGCTCCATTGTAGACACAAACCGGAAAGCAGACGGCTAGTGCTTGCCGTGATCAGAAGTCCCTGTCTGTCATTGCTGGCAGTGTTCTTGGTCCCTAGAGTTAGTGGGAACTAACACAGCCAGGTGTCTATGGTCTAAGAAGAAAAGAAATAATCCTGGATAATCCTACTAGGTACCTGTGGAATCTCCATCCAGCCAGCTCGTGCAGTTACTCTGCTGGCGTTGTGTTTCACCTTCCCTGCTCCCTCACTGCTGTCCAAGGAAGATTAATGAATCCCACCTCACATGTTTAATTGTCTTGTCTCTCCCTTTGAGACAAGCCTCTGAGATCCCTGCCAAGAAAGGTCAATTTGGATGAGTTATCTGTTATTTCAAGGAGCTAGACAAGTTCAGTCACTACATCAGTGGTCTGTGAGGATATTGAGGGGATGGAGGGGCAAAACTTTAAACAAAGAGGCGAGTTCAGTCAGCTCTATAGCTGGGAAGTGGAAAAGAATCAACCTGGTTCTTCAAGATGAGCCCCACTGGAGACCTGAAACCAGACGTGCTGCTGGCCGTGATTGAAAACCGTGGGTCTTGTGCCCAACTCTGATGGCCTCTGCTGCCATTCACAGCCCTTCCTTTGCCTCATTGGGAAAGTGGGTACAGAGCAGAAAGGATCTTGGCTTTGCCTTTTGTCACACAGCTGTCTCTGTGAATCAGGGCTGTACCACCCTGCCCATTTCCCTCTTTCAGACCTGGCTTCTGCTGTGTGTTGCCGGCCAAGCAGGCAGGACAGTTAGCATGCCTTGAAGGATCTAAGCATGCCTGACACTTTTTCCTTGGCCTCTGAGTCTATGAGTTCTGGAAGACAGCTGGGATACTGAAGCTGAAATGGCATGGCTGGCAATAGTAAAATGCAAGGTGCCCTACCCAGGGACTTGATTGGTCCACACCATCTGGATTCCACTGTATTTCTAGGGCTATGAATTGTTCAGTGGATATCTTGGCTCTGTCCTCTGGCTTGGGTTTGTCCCCAAGACTGCAGCTTTAGAGGAGGACATAAACTCTTACAGGTCACGTTTTTATATTTATGGCCTGCCTCTGGGATAAGTAAGAGACACTGTCCTTTTAATCAGCCTGCTGTCTGTTGAAGGGCCTTGCTTTCCTTCATTTTCCTGGTCACTGGCTGTGAGGAAAGCATACCCTGGGTTTGGTTCCTTGTTGGCTTCTTCCAGCTGCATATGGGCTAATAAGCAATAAAATACTCTTGAGGCCCCATGGTCTGTACAGAGCTTGATGCTGTAGAGCCATGACTTTGTGGGTAGAGTACAGGAATAGGATGAAGGGAACCACATAGGGTCATGGTTGTTCGTGAAGATTTTGCTTAGCTAGAAACTCAAAGCCAGGAAAATGAACCCAAGTTGCTGAGAGGGAGAAAGGAAGGGTCCTGGAGGCCTAAGAGCAACCAAGTTTTATTCCACAGAGGCACCCTAGTGCTAGTGTGAATGAGGGTTGGTGATGGGTTTTGCATAGGTAGTAGGAATGGGTTTTTTGGGTGGGTGACTGTGAAGAGAAGTGGGTAAGTGGATGAAAGAACTTGGTGAGGACCTACCAGGTGACAGGATAGGACACTGTTTCCTCTTAGTGGCGTGGGAGATGTGCACACACATGGGAGCTGGCTGTGGTGCAGGACTTAGATTGAAAGACCCTGTATGTTCAAGGAAGGCATTCTGTTTAAGGCCTGCCCCTGTGCCAAGAGGACTTAACTTTGCGTTTATTTAGCCTTCTTTTCTTTTGTGGTTGGAACTCTAGTCTGTCTACAAATCTCCAAAGCTGCCTGGGTAGGAACCCCTGGGCTTGGGAACATGTGGAGAAGTCTTAAGGATTCTCAGGAGTGTCACTTAGTCACTACACACTTAGATCTCTTCACATGAGCTGGTTCACTGGGTTTCACAGCACTGAGCAGAGGGTAGTATTGGCCTTGTCGTGACTTAACTGAGTCAGAAAGAGCCCTCTCAGGGCCTAATGGCTTGTTCCCAGCTTTGGATTTCCAACCCAGGTCTTAAACTCCAGCTAGACTAGGGAGTGGAGCACCGAGGTCCTTGGCAGTATTCTGGATCTCTGAGGCCTTCACTTCTTTCTTTATACATTAGAGAGGAGAAGGAGAACTAAGAATATCTTTACTCTCCTCCTCTGTTTCTCTGATTGCTTAGAGCTCTTGTGAGAGCTGACTTGCACTTGGCTAAAATGCCAGGCATTCCCCATGATCCTGAAAAGAGTTCTTGTTAAGCCTTTTTGACATCTTCATAGAGTATTTCCCTGAATCTGGGCATGTTTCTGCTGTGTGTTGCTCACTAGGAAAGGAAGTCTCACTGTGGCAACTCAAGTTTTCCCATTCTATTTGTGAGGGATGCCTGGAGCTTTCCCAGCATGTGTGTTGTGTCTGTGTTATCTGTTTGCTGGCTCACATAAATCATCCACTGGAAGCATTGGCTAATGTGTTGCATAGTTAGATATCAGGATATAAAGTGGCTCCTTGGTTCTACCTTTAATCAACCCTGGCTGCCTTTGTGGCGTCCTTAAGCTGGGAGAGTAGCAGAGACAATGTCGGCACAGATCTGGAACAATAATCCAGTTTCCTTTGAAGAGAGAATTTTTGCCACTGAGCTTATAGGAACGGTTCTTAATTCCTATATAAAAAGTAGAGAAAGTATATGCTGTCTCTTATATCTCCTATGGAAGATCTGTTCTGTTTCTGTATTTGTATCATTACTGCTCTTTACCCTGGGCCATATCTCCCAGTGAAGGGGACTCTTGACAATCGTTGTGGTTGGGGGGAAAGGTAATAGAGAAAGTAAGATCAGGTGATGTTTTCTAGAAAGAAGGTAAGAGTAGAGTTTCAGCGTAGACTCAGCTCTGAAAGTCATAGGCATTATTTTTGGTGCTAAAGGCTTAGGTGTATGTTCAAGTGGACATACTTCTTCGAGGAAACCCAGAGGGTGAAATAATTAGTTAATGGCTCAATGAAAGTTATATTAAGTATGGAAAACCCTATGTCCATTTGAGTTATTGCTAGCTGTAGACTTTGTATCAGGAGACTTGATAGGACAGGCCTGTCTTAAGTTCACACTTAGTATTGACTTTCTTTTCTGTTTCCTATTCTTTTACATCCCTTAGCCATTTCTGAATATAGTCATTTCCTCTCTATGGAGGATTGGATCCACAGATGCTGAAGTCCTTCTGTGAAATGAGTTTTTTTTTACTTAATTTTATACATATCCTCTCATGAACTTTAAACCATGCCCAGATTTCTATAATACCTAACTCAAAGCAAATGCTGTCAAATAATTGTTTTAAGAATTCTTTAGAAGATAGTAGCAAAGTCTGTGCATATAAATGTAGTTCATTATATATATATATGTGTGTATATGTATAATATACACACATATTATATATGTTCATGCATAATAACTGGAGTGCAGGGAGACAGTACCTGGGGATGTGGAAGGCTAACTATAGTCTGTTGACGGAGGTTTCTCTCCCTTCTGGTCCCGCAGCCATTCAGTCCCAAAGAAACACACAGAGGCCTACATTAATTATAAACTGGTTGGCCTAATAGCTCAGACTTTCTTATTAACTAACTCTTACATTGTACATTAACCCATTCTTCTTGTCTGTGTTAGCTGTGTAGCTTGGTACCTTTTATCAGCAAGGCATTCTCGTCTTGCTTCCTCTGTGTCTGGGTGACGACTACAGACTGAGCCTTTCCTCTTCCCAGAATTCTCCTGTTCTTGTTGCCCTGCCTATACTTCCTGCCTGGCTACTGGCCAATCAGCATTTATTAAAACAATACAAGTGACAAATCCTTACAGGGTACAAGACCATTGTTCCACAGAAATAGTATGTGCGGTTACATTGCTACTTTCTTGAAGTACATACATGTCTTCTGGTATCAGTGAATTAGTGACTTTGATTTGGAGTATAAGTAAACAGACTGCTCATTGTAAGGACCTTTCTGTCTTCAGAATTTAGCTGCCTATAGACCCTGGCAGAGATCTGTTTGCCCTATAGTAGGTACCTAATGTGGAGTGATTGTTTAGGTATGCATCCTGAATCTAATTAGCTGTTATTTCATCATAGCTCAAATCCTGATGGTCTTGGATATCTAAGACCACATCACATGACAGTCTACTAAGTGAAAAAGGCCAGAATGGATAGGCACAGAGAGGGAGGGGACACTGCCTCTGGCCACTGGCTGCTCTCCAAAACAGGTGAACTTTGTGTTCAAAAGGAATGCATTTAATCTTTTGGTCTTAATAGAAGTTACTTGTATTTTCTCTCCCTTTTTCTCCTCCTTTCTCTTCACCCCCACCCTTGTTGCCTCCCTAGCCACCAAAGAATTTAATCTGCTGGACACCAAACAATACAGTTATAAAACTTTGAAAACAAGAGGGTGCGGCCTCCCCAGTGAGGAAAAGGGCATGCTGGGTAATGGCCCCAGGGAACATGCCAGGCTTGAGGTTTAGCCTGTGAGAGCCCAGTTGGGTGGATACCTGAGTGCCTGCCCTGCCCAGTGCTAAGCTATCCCCCAGTCCAGAAAGGGGACAGAAAAGGGCTTGTAAAGGGGAAGTTGTGTATGTTCCCCTCTGATCTGATGGGAATGCACTAGACTGTGAAACTTCCTTCTCTGCCTCTTCTAACTCTCACCCCTTCCCTTCTCCTCCCACCTCCTCCTTCTCATTGTTCTTGAGACTAGCAGACAGAGGATATAACAGAAAAGGGTTAGAATAGCAGTATAGGTGCTGCTACTAGCTGGGCCTGCCAAAGGTGAAATAGGGTTTGGGGCTTGTATTGCCTACAAGCTCAGACATATCTTTACTAAACCCAGCCTCCCCCCCTCCCCACTGACCTGGGGCAGTGCAGCCACATATACATCACAGTGGTTTGCTCCAGCCTATGTACTGCCAAGTGTGTGCCCAGGTACTGGGCAGAACTACCACTAGTCCGCCCTGGCTTTCTGGTGCCTGCCTAAGACTGTGCTGAGGAGAATGGCTAACAAATGCTTTCTTCTGTGAGTGTTTTGCTCTCCACAGGAAGAGTGAGGCTTGTTGCAGAGAATTCGTGGGAACCCAGAGTAGACACATGATCCAGTGAGTATGGCACCAAGTAGGATATTGTGTCTCTCCTCCCCTTCTTGGCAGGAAGAGGAGTTGACCCATCCTGACTGGATGAAGTAGGGAAGTTAGACTTGGCTATCTCTTCCCTGACCTGTCCTTATCGAATCCTCCACTGAGCCATACGGGCCATTTCGGAGTGTTAAGGGAGTGGACTGTGTAGGACTGGGGCTATGAACTTTATGGTAGGCATTGGGAGATCACAGGCAGGCTTACCTTTCCTCTTGTGCAAGCTTCAGCTCTCATAAAAATGCACTGTCTTAGAGTGTGGCTGGTCTCCACATCTCTAACTTAGTGAAGCCAGGAGAGCCAGTGCTGGCCCCATGGGCTTCTGAAGCCCTTGCTTCTCCCTTGGTTACCCAAGCCGGCACTTGTGGAACACACTGGATCTCAAGGATATTATGCCCACTATGGAAATCAGTAGTCATGGATGTTAGGCCAACAAGCTCCAAATTCCCCTTTACCCATGTATCTTCAACATATATCCCTCATTTTTTCACCCTTTCCTCTGATTCATTAACCACAGCTTGTTGGCAGCATTCCCTACCTACCCTGACAGCCAAAGACAAAATGTCCTGGATGCTGGGCCTAGGCTACTGCTGAGAGTGACAGGAAGCCAGGCAGCCTGTTCATTTCACATATGCAGTCTCTCTTGGAGGTAAGATGTTCCCTTTTCTTTCAAAAAGACCTTCAGACCTTCCCTAGTCTCCCCTCCCAAAGATGAGTTCTTCTCACTGGTGGGAAGCCCTGAATCAGTCTTCAGAGGCAGGCAAGAAATGGATGGCTGGTTTCTGGCACCCTCCCCCACACTGGCTGGAATTCTCATACATACAACTGTGACTCAGCACCCAGTGCTGGGTCAGGAAGGAGAAGCTATTGCCTGGCTGGAACCTTCCCACGTTCTGCATGTGAGCACATCAGACAGCACAGGCTGGGCCCACAGGGTGAGGTTCCTGGGGCAAGTATCTTCCCCTCCCACGGGTTTTCTTCCCACATTCTTTTGGGTTCTGTTCTGGGCTCAGGGTTCTAAAGATCATAGCAATGGTCATAGACCACTTTTTAATCTTTGTTTTTAGCCACTTTTTAATCTTTGTTTTTAAGCAGTGGCCCATGAAGAGTGTTTATAACCTTTAGTTGTACTGTCTGACCTGCATGGGTTGTTTTTTCTCTGTGTTAATTTTGTATATCTCTGGACAAAATATGAATTTTCCAGATTACAGTACCTCTCTTGCATGCTGTTGCTGCCTCTGGCTATTTCCTTCCTAAGCACTCTTGGCGTGTGTGTGTGTGTGACTGTGTGTGTGTGTGTGTGTGTGTGTGTGTGTGTGTGTGTGAGAGAGAGAGAGAGAGAGAGAGAGAGAGAGAGAGAGAGAGAGAGAGAGAGAGAGAGAGAGAGGGGCAGTTTTCCCAGCAGAGAGAGAGGGGACCAGTTTTCCAGCTTATTCGTTTATTCTTTACAGATGAATATACTAAAGCCATTCATGATGATGGCAGGGGCCTGTTCTCAGCATGTAGGCAAGTTGGTGTTCTAATTTTACAAGGAGTGACTTTGCCTTTGCCCCTCTGGCCCCTGCCTTGCCCGAGAAGTGTCCTGTCATGGATGGGTAGAATGACCTCCAGAGTGAAATAGGAACAGGAACAGATGGAGGCTGGAGAGTGGTGTCCCAGACTTCTTTCCTGCTCAGTGACCTTTTCAGTACTGCTAAGTGAGGAAGGGTGGTTTCTTTTCTAGACAGCCCCATCAAACCCTGTAGCTTGAAGTTTACTTGAAGCTATTTGAGGAAGGAGATCCCATTGCTCTCACTGAGAGCAGAGCCCTAGCAGCCCACGGTTTCATGGGCTGCTGCCGTAGACATCCAGGTGACTCTCAGGCCTGGTGCCAGAAAACTAGAGCCTTTATCAAGTCATTTAGCTGTTCCAAACTAATGAAGAATCACCACCTTGTTTCAGAAAAGGGACATTGCCCAGCCGACAATGCTTTTATGGGGTGCTGAGGCCTGAGTGGAGTCGGATGGACAAAGGGTCTGAATGCTAGGACTACTTTTATTTCCCTCCTCTCTAGCTTAGTGTTTAAATCACCATACCGTCAGTAGTTCTTATCTACCAGAAGAGAGGGTTTGCAGTCCAAGGGTGGAACCCTAGACCTTACCTTTTCCTTCACTGGTACTTTCTCCTTACCAAGCATAGCATCTCCCCTGGGCCTGGGCAGCATTTCACTTACTGGGTAGGAAGAAAGACATTAGCTTCATGCCATGCTGAGGACCAAATAAATATTTGTTTTCTAACTGATAGCAAACTGGGCTAACCTAGGAGAAAGCTTTCTAGAGCTGAGTTAGGACAAGTGGGGTGGCAGCTGAGGGAGTAGGTGGAGAGTTGCCAAGGAGGTAACAGCAGAGGCGGAGACTTCTGGGAGGAAGGGTGTGCCCTGGATTCCTGCAGGATATCTCTCCTTAACATAGAGGAAGAAGACTGAGAATTCTCGCAATAGGAAGTTGCTAAGAAAATTTGACTGAAATGAAAATCAGAAGAGCTGAGTATTACCACATGTAAATCTCATCTGTCCCCTTCATTTACAGGGTTTTGATCCTTGTCAATAACTGCCATGTGATATATTTACAACCTATCATCTTGTTCACAAGGCCCTAATTTTGGCAGCTAGTATCACTGTCACTCTGGAACTCATTATATAGATTTGCTTGCATTCTTCTGTAGCTGAGACCCTGGAGAACCCCAGGGAGGTCCTCTGCCTGGCTCAGTTTCTTAGAAGCTAAGCCTATCAATGTTATCTGTAGGCTTCATTCCCATTAACTTCCCTATTGCTAGACAGGACAGAGGCACCGTGGTACAATAGAGCAAAAGCAGGTTCTCTTAGACTACCTGACCCCTTGCAGTAGCAACACCATGTGCCCTCATCTTTACCCAGACATAGCATGTGTGACAGTGAGTTTCTTTCACTTTATCCGGATTGCCTGAAGTAAATTCCCCTCCCCAGTCTAGGTAAGAGTTCAGTTCAAGGGAAAGGAGATCACAGTCACACAGTACAGACCGAGCAGCAGCAGTGGAACAGGAATACAGACATTAGTCCATCTGGTTCTTATGTCTACAGTTTCTTGTGCAAACATCAGAACAATACCTGCTTCATTGGACTCTTAGAACGACTAAGTATTGTGACACTGGATGTTCACATTATATTTGCTCAAAAATTACCCTATAGCAGTCAGGAGCTGTAGGAAGAGATAAGCGTATATCCGGAGGACAAAAAGAGTTGCTGGAGAGACCAAGACATACGGTTCTATTGTCTTTTTTTCTCTGTGTTGAGACATCAGAGGAAACACGTAGCAAAGAGGCAGTCCAATTTGAAACATAGTTTGTGAATCTTATTTTCAGATAAATTTTAAAAGCTTACCTTATTTTTGTGTTAGAGGAATATCTACATAATAAGATACCAGCTTTTAAAGTTACTCTGGGTTAATTCAAATTGTCAGCCTATGGGGTCATGGGATAGAAAGGAGGAACATGTGCTCTTTTTGAATAATACTCATGGAATCGTTGTCCTGACTTAGGTGCTAAACTTGTGTTCAGTAGTTACCATCTCATAGGTAACTGTCCTAAAGGAGTGATATAATGTATGCCACTATGCATCTTGGGAAATACTACATAAATTCAAGACATTACAGATGTACATGTGTGTAATGGACTTGGTTCTTTTAGTTCATTGTGTATAATAATTTTTAACAACTAATGTGAAGTCATACAGGGAATAAGCTTTGCATTGGTCTCGTCTGCTCAATGTTGGCTGTGACTCTGATGCTGCTACGAGCAGCGTTGTATGGCTGTCCTCTGCCTCTGACAGGCAAGATGATTCTCAGAGCTGAGGCTGGATCGTCTGACTGCACTTCTCTGCCTTCTTCAGAGAGATCCTCTTCTTCTGGAAGCTGGTTTCACATGGTGGCTTAGATTTTTCCATCTTTGTATCTAGCACCATTTGAAATCAGTGTTTTAGGAGTAAGAATTGCAGCGCAGCAGAGGTTAGACTACAGAGGAGCAGCTGCACACAGGACTGGCTCTTTCCTTCAAGAAGTCAAGGGAAGACTTGGAACAGTGGGATTTGCTCTTGAGTTTGTTTGGTTTAGAGGCAGTGATGGTGGGAAAGTTGTTTAAAATAAATGCAAGGGCATGGATCGGGGCAGGGAGGGATCTAATTTACCATCATTTCATGGGAGGGGGAGGGTGCTCCATACCTGGAGGACCGCTTCCCCCGCATCAGTACTGCCTGCCTGTACCTGGAAGATGCCTGGAGGACTCAGTCGTGGTTGCAGCACAGCTGACGTCAGACTTGTCACTTGTCTGCCATGAGGTTCAGACCTGAAGACCACCACTGGCCCATCTCTTACACAGGCTGACCGATTTCTCCTGGTGTTCAGAGTCTGTTTTTGTCTAGCACCATTTGAAATCGGTTATGATGTAGGGGGAAAAGCACCAGCCTCAGAGCCTCGTGGTGTCTGGTCAGCAGCAGCCTGTCGTTTCCTACACAGGCAGAGCAGAAAAGGAAGATCACAGTTTCCTAACTTCTTTAATGCATATGTATGTGGTAGCAGAAGTTAGAGATAACAGGATTTTAAAATTAAATTTTTGTAATTTATCTGATATCCACAGTTGTAATTTCTGACATGTGGTACTGTTATGAATTGTATAAATGGTTGCTGCTGAACCATGTTTGAGTAAAGAGTATGTTCATGCATCCTGGCTTTAATAAATAATTTGCTATATTCAATTTATCATGTCTGTGTTTTTAATCTATTATTTTCCATTCATAATTCTGTGGCAATGAGAAGTGGGCCCTGGAAAGTTAATTTGTTGTGCCAGTCATAAAGAATTAGAAGTAGGTTGCTGTAGACAAACATTAAAAATGAAGGCCATTAAGACAAGAATGAAATCCTAAAGGTGAAAGATGGTCAGAGACATAAGGGAGCTCTAGGCTGAGGGATGTTACTAAATGGGAAGACTATTCTTGGTTCCAAGGGAACTGTGGACTCTGACCCTCCTCCTGTCAGTGTTGCTGCAGGGAACTTAGTTAACCAAACTGCCATGTGGCCCTTAAAGGGGAGCAGGCTGACTTCAGTTGCACTTGTAGCAGATGGAGTTCTACTTTTGGGTGATAGTTTATTTCAACCCTTGAATAGGCGGTGAGACAATTTTGTAAAACTGTTCAGAGATTTGACAGCATGGGGAGGGGGCAGGGTCTATGCTTGGAGAACCTTGAGGAAGAAAGCAGGTGGCCCCTTCCATAGAAGTTGCATAGCTAACTACGAAGCTATCTGCAGAATAATCATTTCAAGCCAGTGGGTTTCAGTAACTGGTGGCAAATCAGCTGCCCAGGAAGCTTTTTCTGAGGCCACATCCCAGTAGTCTTACCCCAGATGGCTGCTTGCCTATTGTGCTGGAATTGGGAGGTGAATGGAGGAGCATTTGCTTGAAAGACTTCCCAGTGACTACGATACATCCTGCAGCTGCAGAGCTATTTCAAGCTTTTGATTGAAGAATCTATGTTCTAAGTCTCAGGATGTGGTAGTGGGAATGGCTAAGTCCCTCAGCTGTATTGTTTAATTTGCTCCATGAAACAAACTAGGAGACCGCAGCTCCTGTAAGTATGACAACTTGGGTCATGGTATTAACTAAATATTAAGCCTTTTTTTGTTTTTGTTGCCCTGTCCAAAGTTCCCAATTAATTCATATTGGAAAATTAAAATACGCCTGGGTCGTGATTCTAGTTCTTAAATGATATAGAATTTAGTATCAAAGTGCAAAGACAAATGCTTAAGCAGTTTCATATCCTGAAGTTCTGAGAAGCAAAATGAAACTAGAACACCTCTCAAACACTTATTTTTTTTATCTTGAATGCTTACATAAAATTGTCAGTCTGGAGTAGTTTTTCATAATTGACTGGTAATGCAGCTTTTTTTTTTTTTTGCTTTTGGCAATACCCTCCTCAAACAGGCTTATAACTGTCAACCCAGGTAGAAAGTCTTTTTTTTGAGGCTTTATTAAGCCTTACCAGACTTTTTAGAAGTGAATATAATGTACTGTTGTTAACCGGGGGAAGAAAGATCTGCAACCAGTTTAGTAGAGCAAATGAATTAAGTCTGAACCCGAGCGTCTTAAAAGAAGTTGGCCTAGGCCTTCTATTTGGAAACTGGCAATAGTTGTAGGAATCGCTAGCACATTAATATGTACATAGTTTTTAGGGAAGCCTAAGATAGCTCATTTAATATATTATATATGGGCATATTCTAACGCAGTAGCATGTTGCCATAGCTTTGGTCACTGAAAGAGTGATCCTTGGGTCCTATCCCTGTAAGGAAGTACTATTTTAGTTGGTCTCAGATGAGTCTGGTGTACAGCCAGGGTTGAGAGCCATTTCCCTATTTCTGCAAAGGCCATACTGTTTTGGTCCTAGTTCTTTGCTTCCGGTTATTATGTTCGTGCATAAATTTCCTGTAACTGCCCTTAATAAATTAGCACAAAAGTGATGTCTTAACATGCACATTCTTAACAGTTCTATATGGCAGAAATCTAATGTTTTTATTGGACTGAAATCAAGGTACTCTCAGACACAAACCCTTCAGAAATATGAAGGAATAATGGGTTTCTTGCCTTCCTTGGTTTATAAATATGCTGCATCGTTTGGCTTGTTTTCTTCAAGCTTCAGAGGTCAGCAGGGTCACATTTTGCTTCATTGGTTGCACTGTCTTCGCTGATTAGTGTTCACCTTTTAACAAGATCACGATGTGATAAACCTATACATCAGAATTTGAGAAGCAGATTGCTTTGGGTGCCTACAGAAGGAATTGTCATGGTTGAAGCTCACCTCAAGTACAAATTTAATATTTTTTTGAGATGTGGCAGTGGAGGTAGGTAATCAGATGCTTAATTTTTCCAATCACCATACTTAATGTGTTTGCCTAAGCATTAGATATTCCCTGAATTCCCAGTGAAGCTACAAGTTCCAAATACCATCGGATATCAGAACATCAGAGCTCTTGTTTCTAGTGGTTCAACACAGGGCTTAGCATTGCAGTGTATAACAATATTCAGAGCTAAAATCGTGTCTTCTTATTCCTCATATCCGTCCAACTACCTGTCTCAAGTTTTATTGGGTTTGTCCAGTCACACCAGGAATCAAGGTTGGTAGTTTTCCTGCGTTATCTATGTGGCAGTGTGTTTACCTGCTGTGTGTAAGCAAGAAGGGAAATTGTGTGTTCACATCAGTTCTCCTGGTATATTTTTCCTATATTGAGCAGTAAGAAATTGTTACTTTCCCCAAAGCAGAAGAGAACTTGTGTTCTGCCTGTTCTAAAATACAATGAATGACTGGAGTTCCAGCAATGACAACCTCACAGAGAAGGGCAGAGGACTGTCAGGTCCTCTACAGTCCATAGGAGGGTTCTCAAAGGTTGACACTTTTTCTAGTGTAACCTCTGGATGAGCCTAGAAAGCCAGAACACAGGGACACCTACTCATGTATCAGATTCAGTCAGTTCTGAATCACTTTTAAAAGTTGGTGGACTGTTAAATTCTGCTCTTAAGGCAAATTATTAAAATATGTAAAATCTAGTCTTGGTTAAAATGTTAGCTGTCTGGTATCACAAGCTTTGGAACTCTAGAATTGCTCATGTCCCTAAAACCTTAAAATTACTTTATAGGGCAGTTCCAAATTCCTTTGCCCCCAGGTCTTTCTAGCATAATTCAGAAGGTTTGTTGTTGGTTACAGTAAAAGTTCTCTATATTTTATGCTAATTAAAATATGCTAGAGTCTCACGTCAATGGCTTAAAATGCTTTAGTCAATCTAGTGTTCATTCTGTGTTGATATTAGTTATAAATATTACTAACATTTTAAAATTGCAGTTTATCCTTGCTTATTTTGACAGACATCAGGACTTCTAAGCAAACAAGATGATGTTAATAATCTGTTAATGACTTTTTTTTTCCATTGCTGAGGAGTGAATCCAGGGTCTCGTTATGCTGAACGACCTTCCTGCTGAGCTACATCCCCAACCCATGAACATTAAATTTAAGACTTTGAAAATTTTTAATAAATAAAATTAAACTGTGATTTTCTTTAAGCTTTTACCCTCTTTATAAGTTTATATGGAGAATTGACCGTCAGGCCGGAAAATTGCTAATACAGGTTCTCATCCTCACATGGCAAATTAAAATCAGAGAAATTAAGACTTCCTGTGTTCAGGCCTCATTTCAAATTAATAATAAGAGAGCACACTGGGGTAGTGCTCAAGTGTCAGTAAAACTTGGGGGAGGCCAGTGGACAGCCCCAGGTGAGAAACACTGGCCTGTCCTTAGTCTGGCTTACTTCATATTTGCAAAGGCAGCAAGAACTGTTTTTGCATAAAGAAAACCAAATCCTATTAGATACACAGGTCAGGTTTTTAATTGTTTGACTTTGCTTGTTGAGCCCTCTGAATGCATTAAAGTGATATGAAAGTTACATCTCCTATTTAGACATGTATATATTGAGTCTGAAATGTGGCTAAACAAGGCCAGGCAATAAAAGATTAAGAGCTGAGGAGTCAAGAGTTTCACAGGACAAGTAGGACATGCATTGGCCTCGGAGATACCTGGATCTGGAGAGGATGTTAAACGTTTCAGGTAACAATGGAGTGTAGAAGGCACAGATGTGTGCTAATGCACAGCCGTTGTGTGCAATGAAAGTGTGAAGTACGGGGGAAAGTTGGAATCAGAAGGTCTGGTGTCATGCTTGGAAACATACATGGCCTTCTTCCAGCAGGAAACGTCACTGAACATTTTGCTCTGGACACGGGCACTCAGGGCTGTGTTGAACCCTTGGTAAGCTGGAGGGGCTGGGATGTGAGGAGACGGTAGAGAGGTTACACACAGATGGCAGTTAGAACCCTATTTTATTTACACTAGAAACACACACACACACATTACCATAAATGAAGTTCCTGCAAATATATAATTTTACTTTTGCCAGACTTGAAGAACCAATTTTCAAAGATGGAACAGTAGTGACTTCCACACATGGAGCTTCTCATTTTCCTGCAGCTGCAGTCCTGAAGTTAAAAGAACATTTTAAGTTCAATTATGCCTCTTTATCATTTAGACAATTTTAAAAACAAAACACACTTTTCATATATTTATATAACTGACAAATTATTTGATAAAATATAGATTTATACATCTCATAAATAAAAATTGAATGTTAAATTTGAAGCAGAGCATGTTATACAAGTAAATATTAAAAAATACTTGATTAAAAATACTTTAAGTTTAAAAATAATAAAACCATTTCAAGTAAATTTGTTTTTAACCTCCTATCTTTTTGTCTTTTTAATGCTGAGATTATAAGTATACCACCAGGCCTAAGTATAAGCCTGCATTTTTAAAATGTGTGAAAATGATCACAGACTTCAGTTTTTCTTAATCCAGAGCTTCTGGGTGTTTTTTTGATTTTTTTTTTTTTGTTCAAATATTATCTTCCCAGAGTATCTACTTGGAGGGCATAAGAGGTGGGGGTTACTCAGAGTGACTGCAGGTGTTTATACTGAAAACAGGATTCACCTTCACCCAGTTTCAGTTTGCATTCACAGTCTTCCCAGGACAAAGCTTCTTTGCCACTCTTTGCTACTAAATGTAAAGCACACCTTAGGAAGGACAGTGAATTGGGCATGGCAGTTTCTTCTCTCAGTTCCCCAGAGCCACTGGCTTGGGGCCTGGTGGAGGCCAAGCTCTGCTCTACTTGAGTATGACCTGCTCCAGAGCTCATTCAGTACAACTGACGGCAGGAGTGCCTTCAGGAGAGGGGTTAAGGAAAGGGCTTCCTCTGATAAAGGCAATATGCAGTGTCTGTTTTCCACATTCTTTAAGTTATTTGATGAATTTGTTCCTTACAAACAACATAGGTGGCTTGGTTAAAGACGTACGTATTTAATGAAAGTCATGATTAGCCAGAACTTCAGAGTGGAGCGTTACTTTAAAAGGCTACAGTGTTCACATTGTAGATTCTTGTTATGGGTGTCACAGACATATGGCCTTTTACAGAAGCATACAAATAGCTGTGAGATCTTAGTAGTGTTTCTTTGGCTGGTTTATTGATGTTCAAAACAGTTAACAATTGCCACACATCAAAGTTGTAATTTATTTAAATCACTGAAGTTGTCAGGGAAAAGTAGAATTTTACTCAACTAACATTTATATAGTTTTGCTATTAATAGTCTTAGTTAAGGATTTCTAAATGGCTTATATTCTGAATTTTTAGTGTCCTTTTAATGGATCAGAGCTGAAGGGGTACGTGCATTTATGAAGGCTTTTTATAATAAACCATATAGAAAATACATTTTAGAATTATCAAAAAAAGAAATTTTAAGAATTAACATTTAAAAGACTTCAAAATCATCCTTTTTCTTTTTCTTTTTTTTTTAATATTTATTATATATACAATAATCTGTCTGCATGTATGTCTGCAGGCCAGAAGAGGGCACCAGACCTCATTCTATATGGTTGTGAGCCACCATGTGGTTGCTGGGAATTGAACTCAGGACCTTTGGAAGAGCAGGCAATGCTCTTAACCTCTGAGCCATCTCTTCAGCCCCCTCATCCTCTTTTTTTAAAAATTATTTATTTATTTATTTATTTATTATGTATACAATATTCTGTCTGTGTGTATGTCTGCAGGCCACAAGAGGGCACCAGACCTCCTTACAGATGGTTGTGAGCCACCATGTGGTTGCCGGGAATTGAACTCAGGACCTTTGGAAGAGCAGCCAATGCTCTTAACCACTGAGCCATCTCTCCAGCCCCCTCATCCTCTTTTTCAAACAAATAACATGTAATTTTTTTAAAAACAAGGTCTTGTTACATAGCCAGGCTGATTCAAACTCACCATTCTCCTATAGTTGGACTATAGGTATGTGCCACCATGTTAGGCTGAAATGTAATTTCATTATAAGTTATATTTCTCTGAGTTACACATTATTATAAAATTAATAATTTACCAACCTCAAGTCAGTTGGGATATGGTATTGACATGCTTTGAAATATAAATGACAGTTAAAGGAAACCAGACACTTTTTCTATACAAAATTCACACACATTTTAAAGGTGTGTCAACGGCAGGCATTTAATGTCAATCACATTAAAATGTGAGCACTGTGGCCCAATAACCGCATGCATGACAGAGAAAGCTGCGACTTACATATTAGAGACAGCAGACAAATTGCTTCTTGGAGTTTGTATCATTGATGGAGTTTTCTCTGATTGTACGGTTGAAGCTGACTTTTTCTGGTGAGTGGAATACTTAGCTTTCAGCTCTGCTTTCCTACAAGACAAGGTATAAGGACGGCATCAAAATAAATTTAACTACGTGCAGAAATTAAGTTCCACAAACTTACTTTGAAAATAGGCATTTTTTTCCCTTGTGAGAATGGAATACAGTTCCTTATACATTCTAGTTAAGTACTCTACCACTGAGCTATATTTTCTCAGCCCCAAGATACACAAAAAAACAATAGTTTTTATTGTATTGTCTGTGAACTAGAAAATATTTCAAATGTTCATGACTCACCCTAAAAAGAGAAAGGAAGAAATGAAAGAAAGGAAGAAAGAAAAAAAGAAAAGAAACTTCTATCCTTATGTTTTGATCCTTATGTTTTTGATCGTGGTATGTACACAGTGCTTGGTAAATATTTCAGGGAGGTATGCAGGCTTCTCTAGTCTCAGAGTTTTGCAAATAATTTTTATTAATGTGATAACTCTTACCTCTCCAGGGGTGAAAGTAAAGAAATCATGCATATATGGGGGAGAGGGAGTCACAAGTGAAAACATTTAAACAAAAAGCAACTGTGGTTTAGAAGTACTTGTAAGATGAGAGTCAAGCAGTTTGTTACTTCCAAGAGGAGAGAATTAGTGAAGAAAGGAGACTGGTGAGGGAAATGGACTTATTTGAGACCTATGTCGATCCTGACCTATTCTTTTGTGTATGTAACAGGCTAGGCTGACTGAATAGCAAGCCCCTGGAATTTATCTATGTCTGCATCCCCAGTGCTGGGATTGCAAGCATGTGCCACCACACGTGGCTTTTTATGTAGGTCCTGGGGATTAAACTAAGGTCTTCATGCTTGTATGACTTGTAAGCTACCATCCCAGCCCAAATTTTATCTTTTCTTATACCTGAGAGTCAATAAACAAAACTATAGAATACTTTTAACTTTTTGGCTATTTTGTTTGCACTCTGATGAGGCCAGAGAAGGATCATTGTGCTCTCAAGTCAGCACAGATATTTGTTATATCAAAGCCTTTTTAAAAAACATACTCTAACAGAAATTTGGGGATGTCTATGCCTTCTTTCAGTTTTCCCCTAAAAATAGAAAAGTAGCTACACATTTTATAGTCTATATAAGAAGTTACAGTGGCAATGTGATATTGTGAAATACGTATTTTTGGTCTTTACTGCCGTTCTGTAGCTAACAACTTAATATCTTTAAACTTTTGTGTGCTGATAAACTCATGGTTGGAACCTCTCAGAAGCTTCAGAAAAGATCTACTCAGTCCGAAAGGACTGAAACTCAGCCCTGCGTCCAGCCTCCCAACATGGAGAAGGGAGGGAGGCTAAATGATCTAATTAAGCATGATTTTTTTTAAAGGCAGAAAGAATTAGGTTTGGAGATTCCAGATGGGACAAAAAAGTTTCTGGGAGGAGTTCCCCCAGGAGTTACAGAGCCTTCCTTCTCTGACAATACCTTTTCCTCTGCAGTTCCCACTGGTTTGAGTTCTGTGAGCCATTCTAGCAAATTAGTCGAGTAAGAGGTGTGGGGACCATGGTTTATAGTTGGTGAGTCAAAAGCACAGGTGAAAGGACTGAGCTTGGTACTGACATTGAAAACAGAGACCGGTGGTGGTGGCGCAAGACTTTAATCCCGGCACTTGGGAGGCAGAGGCAGGCGGATCTCTGTGAGTTCGAGACCAGCCTGGTCTACAAGAGCTAGTTCCAGGACAGCCTCTAAAACCACAGAGAAACCCTGTCTCGGAAAA